TACAGGTGTTAGGGTTTAGGGTTCAGGTGTTAGGGTTTAGGGTTCAGGGTATAGGGTTCAGGTGTTAGGGTTTAGGGTTTAGGGTTCAGGTGTTAGGGTTTAGGGTTCAGGTGTTAGGGTTTAGGGTTCAGGTGTTAGGGTTTACATGGACGCTAAGGAACCTGCCTTTTTAGGGCCCCCCAATATGATTTCTTTATAGAAGTCCCTGAAAAGATAGGCTAGTTGGGGTTAAGGTAGGGCTTAGGGTTTAGGGTTTAGGATTGGGGAGTTTCGGGGCCTTAAACCAAAGAGCCCCCGAAACAGAGCTCAATAAGGTAGGGATATCCCCATACATGCTTATGCTTATGTGCTTTTTGGGTCCCTAATATAAGCTGGGTTGTGGAGTACCGTAATTTTATACTTTTTTGGGACCTGCAACTCAAAGGGAACCAATTATGAAGAAAAGTATCTACTTTTTTCTCCCTGGTTACTTCCAAGCCCAGTAAAACCGCTAAAGAACCCCCAAACAGAGCCCGAGAGCATCTCCAGACAGGCCATCATAGGGGTTTAGTAGGGATTAGGGTTCCCATAATAAGGCTCATGTTGAGGAATCCCCACCCCAAGAATCTTAAACGCCCTTTTTGGCCTCCCATCAGGTCAGGGCGACGCCTCCGCTCAGATCCTCCTGGCGCGCATGCTGAACGAAGGCCGCCCCCTGAACTGTCAAAGGGTTTACGGTTTCGGTTACTTGCAGGTTCATGGGTAGCTATAAGGGTTCCTTTAAGGGTCCCTTTAAAGGGATCTAAAGGGATTCTATTAGGGTTTAGGGTTTAGGGTCTACGTGGAGGTTCATGAGTAGTTATAAGGAGGGTTATAAGTAGGATAACTTATAGTTATGAGCCACATTAGGGGACTTATCACCCCACTGCTTAAGCCATAACTCGGATGCCCAGTAGTACCCTTATTCCCTTTTTGCAGTCCTAGGCTCCCTATAAAGTGTCCCCATACCAAAATGGGAGCCCTTTTTATTCCTAGGTTACTAGGCGGCCTTTGTAAAGACTCTTACTTGAATGTTTCGGGTGTTGCTAACATGTTATAAGTGGTTGGTACAATTGCGAGGGTTAGCTAAGCAACTTAGGGGCTTTATTAAGGGGGTTTAGCGAAGTTAGGCTAAGGGGTTAGCAACCTGGAAACTAAGTATATCAATGGTGAAATTTATGGTTATGTAATAACAGAACATGAAGATTTGAGAAGTGAAATCTCAAAACTGTTTTCGGTAATTTGCGAGTTAAAAGCAAAGAAAACAAAAGTCTACAGCACAAAAATCAAAGAATTTACAAAGCGAGAATACAGATCTCAGAAGGTTGAAAATTAGAATCAACCCAACTAGCTGTTCGAGAAGCAAACAAGCATGCAGCTCAACTGGCTCCAGCAAAAGCATGCCTGCCTGCAAAAGTACCGTCCAAATCCCATTCGTCGTCTGCGAGATGCATGACATGGAGTATTGTTTTGTTGCATGCATGCATGGCAGCATGTCACGGAGCATTGCATGCTGCATGCATGCCATGCACATGGAGCCTGCTCGAAGGCTTGCATGAGGCTTGCCATGAAGCATTGCATGCTGCATGCATGCCATGCACAATCGAGCATGGAGGCATTCTTGCTACAATCCTGCTGCATGCATGGCATGCATCATGGAGCACGATCGCATGCATGATGCATGTCCATGGAGCACTGCATGCATGCACTGCATGCTGCATGCATGACATGGAGCATGCATGGCATGCATGGAGCATTGCATGCTGCACATGGAACATGAAGGCTTGCATGATGCTTGTCAATGGAGCCTTGCATGCTGCATGCATGCCATGTGTACGAAGCATGAAGGCATGCATGATGCATGTCGTGCATGCATGCTATGCACAACATCGGACATGAATGCATACGTACTACAATCATGCTGCATGCATGCAAGAATAAACACAGATCGTGGAGCATCAGTTGCATGCATATATAAGCATGGCTGCTGCGATTTTCTTGCCGGCAACATCTTCAAGCCATGCTGTTGCACAGGTGGCGGGGTAGCAGGGTGGTGAGAATGCCTGCATTGTTATTGTAAACTACACTGCACAGGAAAGCATCAACCTGCATGATGGATAGGGCTTCACCTGCAATCCTCCACTTGGCCACTTGCTTCACTGCATCATGGGAAACATACTCGCATCTGGACACAACACCTGCAACATAGCCGTCCACTTCGATAAGCCATTGGAGTCGGCCACAGCAAAAGGGGATGGGTGATTCATTGTCGGCAGCTGCATGGTGCAAAACAACATCACCGGTATGCAAGACAGCACCAGAAGCTAGCCGGCACTCTTTGCTGCAGTTGCAGGAATCACTCTCAGACACGATGTTGCTCTGCAGAAGTTGTGCCATTACTTTGGCGGATACGGGGTGAGGCTGCAGGAGATGAGGGCCAGCTCGAAATGGAGTGTCGCTCGAAAGCAAGGCAAGCTGTTCAGCATTTGTCTCCTCCAATAACCCTTGTTCAAAGTTGGTGGTGTTGCTGGTAGCTGTGCCGTATTTTCGCACTGATTTGTGTTTTCGCTCCAGTGTCCAGCATGCTGGCATGCATCGAAATCGTGACAGACATGCCTCAAAATGTAAACACCAATGAAACTTCGGAGCCATCTGGTCTCCCCACCCGGCGGCGACGGTGAGGGACAATGCTCGCTCGACAGTCTGCAACAAAAGGCCTGCTGGAGGCAGTTGTAGTGTACAAGCTATCAAGATGGCCAAGACTTCCAACCAAGACAAGCAAGCTTCCTTTGCAAGAGTGTCATCCGGGCTGGGGCAGCAGGTATGCAAAAAATATTCTAAAGGCTTTGAAATTGCTAAAACCTCAGAGGCTGAGCATTTGATGTAATTTGCCTTCCTGTGTGCCTTCATCTTCTCCTGGCTGAACAGCTTGTGCAGTGCCGCTGCTTTCTGGGCTTTCGGCCATTGCCAGAGTTGCAAGTAGTCATGAAAGGTAGCAGCTTTTCCAGTGGCTTCCAGCACCCACAGGATTATGCAGTTGAGGACTCCCATGCTGCATAAAGAATGCATCCAATCAAAGCAATATTGCGAAGCCGGCCGCAATACATTCAGACTTCGTAGAACAGTGCTCATCATCAGGGCATGCGGCGAGAAAGACCACCCACAAGCCTGTTGCCACTGTTGGAACTTGCTTTTGGACTCTGTCCGGTGTCTTGATTCCATTCGTTCCCACGATTCCAAGAGCTCATCGTCTGTAGCTTGATGGCATGCATCCCATGTCAAATGTTTTGCCGATATCTTGACATCATCCTCAGAGCTTTTTGACCGTAGGGAAAAGATGTTCTTACAAAGCATGCAAACTCTCGAACCGGCATCTTGCCGGTTCGAGTATGTGTGTTTCTGTGCACTTCCGTCCTGAAGTGTCATAGCAAGTGTAAAGAATAGTCTGATGCTTTTGCTCGGCCCCTTCAATGCCAAGCCATGCTCTGGATTTCCGAACTCGTTGGCAAACATGAACTCAAGCAGCAACCTCAAACATTGGCCTATACCAGCCGACACCTTCTGCACCAGTTCGGTTCTGACCACCATCAGTGTAAACCAATGATGCTCGTTCGAAAGCAACTTCGGTGACAGCTCCAGAAACGAGAAATACACCGCCCAGACTTTTCGCCCTTGGGAGGACAACTGATTGCCCGGGTGTACTTCATCGGAATAAAGGACCCCCCGCCAGGGGGATCCTATGCTGGATGGTGATGCTTCGTGCACATGATTCAACATTTGGTAAAAATAACCACCTGCTGCATACATGCCCTGAATAAGACTCGCCAGGTTGATGCATGGTATGTTAAGGTCTGCACCGGCCAGTGACTTCGCCGGAAGTTGTTGCACAAGGGCCCCATAGGCAGTGCAACTTGCAATGGCCTGTTTCACTGCTTGCTTCATGTCATGCCTCGAATGCTTTTCTGGAATTCCTTCCTTTTCGACCAAACTCAAGATGCAACTCAAAGCTGAGCAAGTAACAAAAGGCAACTGCCTTCTGAACCCATCCAATCTCTGTAGTTTGGCCGAGCGAGAGCTTTCTGCTTCGTGCCCCCGCTGTTGCTTCTTTCTAGGTGCCGAAGATGTCGATGCAGCTTCCATCTTGCTTCGAAACAATGCACAAAGAATGCTTCATGCACTCTTTGTGTATACAGTTCTGTCTATGATGAAGGTATAATATATGTCTCTATATATGTGCATGCATGTGTAAGCTTGTGTGTGTGTATGCATTTACAAATATACGTGTATGTATATATGTATGCATGCATGGCAGTATATATGGATATGTATGTACATAAATGTATCTATATGTATATAGACCTGCAGGTTGTATGTATGTATGTCTGATGTATGTATGTGCATGCATGTATGCATGTATGCATGTATGTTCAAGTATATATGCTGCAACGAAGGAACCTGTATGTATATACCTATATGGGTAAGTATGCTTGCATATACATATGCATATAGACACACGAACACACGAAAGCGCTTTCATATATGCAGTACAGAGGGTTGCATACCTTTCACATGCAAGTTACTCTTACAAAAACTTCGGGGCAAATGTACCTTACAAACACTCATAGTCTGAAAAGAACCTACGTAACATTGTATAAACCGCAAACACTGAACCGTAATACTAAAAAAACCTTACAGATAGACTTTATAGTCTTCCTTGTGCCCGATTGCACATGCATGCACGGCCTGAACTGATATAGCCATGCACGGACATGCTCATGTAGCATCTGAAGGCAACATGCAGACATGGCAACACAAGCTGCAAGCATTCATGTTTGCCTCGCATTGCAAAAGTCCCCGGCACGATCATGTCATTCCTGACTTCGCAGCATGCATGTATGTGCACACCCTTGCCCCATGAGTGGATCAACTGTACGATCACTCCAAGCTGCATGCAGTTTCTGCAAGCAAGCTAAAACAACAAT